CGTCACAGTTGCTAGGTGACAAGACGTACACCGGGGTAAGGAGGGGAGGCTAGACCGTCCAAATTCACAACCTCTTTTTTTCCCGGTCTTCCCGGTCTACCAAGGACCCGGCCCGCCGAGACCGGGGAGTCTGGGTCCTCCGGAGGACCCGTCCTGCCGTTTTGGACACAGCCCTCAACAACTGTTCATCTCAGCAGSGGGAAATTATTTTTGCAATATGCTAATGTTATCTTTACAATAATGCCATTATATTTAATTTAAAAGTTTTCATGTCACAGGCACTTTAATATGCTCCACTTTAACCTTTATGTGTCTGTTACAAATAAGACTTCAACAATTTTCTTTGCAACATAGCAATCTTCAGGATATACCAGGTCAACAGTCAGCTGTAATAAAGATAAATCAGATTTAAAAAGGAATAATGTTAGAATAAAACATTTTGGCCAACAAACATGCAGATCTGAAATGACTTTATATGCACATACCCAGCAATGTTTGCCATGGAGCTGAGTGCATCAAAACCCTGGGCGATGGTGACTCTGGGCACCTGGTCCATAGCCAGAACTGTGGCTTTTTTCTGGGACAGCATGTCCATCAGCTCAGGGTTCTGAGCTGGGTAGATGAAGCTGAGTAAAGTTCCTGCGTCCTTCATCATCTCCACCTCGTGAACACCCAAGGCTGGGTTAAATGTGGGAGCACGGACCTAGAGTCAGACAAATCCAGTGAAGATACTTTAAAAAATGGACTATTACTATTATGCAAAAATACTAAAATTATAGCATAAAAATAATATAATTTTAAAGCTCAATTTTCCTGATAACTAAGCCATAAACCTATACTGCTATAAAAAAGATAAAAATAAATAAAAAACACTTATTAACAGGCATATAGGAGATGCTTTAAAACCTACTTTAACCAACAGATCAGAGGCCAGCACATCTTCTACGCCTTTAATTGTTGCCCCAGCTTGAGTGTACATCTCATCAGGGAACTTTGAAAACTCTCCAGCTCCGGACTCCACGACGACGTTGAAGCCCTGTTTGATGAGAGCCTGAACGCCAGCTGGGGACAGCGCCACGCGGCGTTCATTCTGGAAAATTTCTTTGGGAACTCCAACTGTGAGCTGCTTGTATGGGATTCCTAAACGGCAAAAACAAACAACAAACATAAAGATATGAGACAAAGTTCTTTTACTCGCATCACGTGATCAACTGACTATAGAGCCTCACATGAATGTTCATCATCACAACAGTCTCAGTCTTTAATGTTTGCTACAGGGTCAAAGAGGTCACAGCCAAGTCACATCTACACAAGAGTGCACCTTTTCTCTTCAAGACTTTAAGCTGACATTTGTGTTCAGAATGGAAGCTGCTACTAGAGCTGGCTGAGAGGGACTGTTAGCCTCTCACTATTAAAAACATCAGCACAACCCAGCACACACACACACACACACACACACACACACACACACACGTAAAGCTCCTGAAACCAGCTGGTACTAGCTTGCCAGCACCCACACTACAGACCGGTCAAAGTGTGAAGAGAATAATGTCAGACAGCAGCAGTGGCACTGAAACTGAAAGGCTGATCTCTGTTGAGATTCACTCTCTGATGCCAAAACAAAGTATTAAAGTTGTGACAACATCTTTATTGTGTCAAACTAAAAGAAAAGTATGAAGTAAAAAATAAACAGGAAGCAGCTTACCATGTATTTAGATGCTTTTTTGCAGTTTTCTAGGAATTAACACATTTATTATGTTCATTCAAAATAAACCTGCTTCTTATTACTTCTTTAACATGTTTAAAAGAAAATAATTTCAGTAAAAATCCTCTAATTATGTCTTGTTTCTACAAATTGTCTTTGCAGCACTTCAGAAGAACTCTTAACTCTTGTAGATATAAAAGAGAACTGTTAAAAAAAATGCAACTGTCCAAAAAAAAAAAATACTTCTTTTCAATCACTGAAAATAATTTATTTTCCACATTTTAAATCTGGGCCCTAAAGGGTTAATGCTCCTGAGACCGTCTGTGCTGCAGCTGGATGGTGACATACAGACAGCAGCTCGTTCTGCCTGGACTTAAGGTGTTTTGAGTTCACAAACTAMTCCAGTTACTTTTTTTTTAAAGTTGAGGGACATTACGTTAGCTCGTAGCTGTGCTGCTGATCAGCGCTATTTTTAGAACAGGCAGGGAGCTGCTGACTCCCGGTCACACGTGGGTCTGAGTTGGTGATTCTTGCTGTTTCCGAGTAATTATTGATAAGGAAACCATGCTGTAGCTTCACCTGTCGTGTTTTCCTTGAAAGAAAAAAAAAGTAGCTTGCAAAGCTGTCGCATCAGACAGTTTTCATCACGTGTCACATCACACTCACACTCACATACATGCCTTGCTATCTTTGTGGGGACTACACACCGCACTTACAGCCTCGCTACGCACAAGAACCCACGGTGTTGGTTTTTCAAAATAAAGTATATCTTAACTTTTCATTGACGTTTAAATAGGGTTTCAAAGTCTGATTATGGTTAGCATAAGAGCGCAAATATGGGATATAAATATATATGATATGATTTACATTGTTTTATCCTAATATAGGCCTATTATAAAAAAAACTATTCTGAAAGTGTGGCGGCTATGATTTTTGCCGTGGCGGTGCGCCACGATCAATTTACATGTAGGGGAAACCCTGCATCATTACTGAGTTTCTTTCTGCAGTGTATTTGTTCATTTCAAACAAGAAAACCTATGATTTGATATTGAACAATGCCTTAAATTGTGTCTGAAAATAAATACATTTATATGCTTTTATCTTATCACTATGCAGTGTCCTACCGGGACTGGCACTCCGCCAAAGAGCTTGGTGGGTCTTAAAAGAGCGTATGCAGGTTGATTTGATAGCAGAGCCGCTGTGCACCTTCACACAGGAGATGCTGCTGAGCACAGGGGCTGAGCAGTGTACCGCCACGACACGCAGGAGGCTCGCCATGGTGCACACGCTCCCAACACTTGCTCTGCAGGTGGACCTCTACAGGACAGACAGCAGCCCTCCTGGGGGAGAAGATTAAGCATGACAGCAGACAGAACGGAGAGGATTGTTAGAAACAGGAAGAGAGAGAGTGTGCACAAATGAGAAGGAAACTAAGAATGTCAATATGTTTCCTAAGACTGTCAGCTGACGCACTCACATTAAAACTCTGTTCCCTTGAAAAAGCAAATACAGTCATGACTTTTAATCATTCAACTGGTCACAGTCATTCCCATGAAGCTTTAACTAACATGCAGATATAAGTAATTCAGTGAAACAAAAAGGCTGAGCCAAGACCAGCACATACTAGCAATTCTTTAAACTGCAATTCAGTGGTTAAAGGAGTCAACAGCGTGTGGGATTGCATGTTTACTCTAAAATGAGATAAAGAGACTAGGATAAACGTGTGTTTATCCTAGATTAAACCCTGCCATTGGTATGGCAGGGTTTAACTAGTATTTACTGGACTGCTTTAAATGTCTATTTGACCCTAACAAAACAAGAACACAAACAGGTCAGAGACACAATGACAGCAAAATAAACAAACACCACTAGCAAAAAGTGTCCAAAGCTGATCTTAAAGTGTATCTTACCCCCCCTGTGAAAAGATAACTCAGCTCCAAGGCGAAATTTGAAAAATGCGTAGGGGAGGGGGTGTGGGTGGGGAAGGGGGTGGTTAGAGAGCGGAGGTGTGGCCAGGACGAGAGAACGTGACAGGCAGCTAGCATTAGCATAATTGATGCTACATGGAGAGTGACCACAGTATCGCAGATAGTTACATCTCTGAACGTCTGAGGTGGAGGATTTTCACCCCACACCAGCCTCAGGAGGAGGAGCGCTCCGACAGACTGACAGAAAAAAATAAAGCATACAGCTGCAGCTGCTCACATGATCGCTAGTTTAAATCAGGAATAAAAGTGTTGGGTCTTGTTTGACTGAAGTTCGGTCCGGTTCGCATTAGGGGTGTAAGAAAATATCGATACACTGAAATATCGCGATATTTCATTTCCCCGATATTGTATCGATATTCTAACGCCCTGTATCGATTTTTTATCAAGGTTTAAAATGTCAACTTTCCTACCAGCCGTTCATTTTTATGTTGCAGTTCGGCCTCTGACCACTAGTTGGCAGCAGTGAGCCAGACATTTGGCTCCTCTACCTCTTGAGCGCCAGAGAGTAAGAGAGCATTAGCATTGTAAGTAACCATTAGCTTCGTGCTCCGATAGCTGAATCTGAGCGGAAAAGACCGACACCCTCTGCCTTCTAAGCTGATGTAAAGTTACAAACAGTTACTTATTTGTCACAATGTCTGTATTTTAAGACAAATTAAGTGTCTTGTGCGCTCTTTTTTCCAACTGTAGTCAGCTTTCACGTTACGCATACAGCGCATGCGTCTTACACCTCGAGTGAGCTCGGCACCCCCCGTGACATAAAACTCAGTCTGTTGCTCTCATTAGCTACGTTTACATGGACAAAAGTTATCGGATTAAACAACCGTTCWGAATAAAAATGCGTCATGTAAACACTTAATTGGATCATCTGATTCTGATTGCAGAAAACTGACCTGTGTGCATGTCTGCTGACTTTCATTCACCCGGTGGGACAGCAGCGCTGCAGCTGCGCCGCGCGCCGCACACCGCACAGAACTTTTCCTCCTYGCTCTCTTAACAGATGAAAAAGGAGGCAAACAGCAGACGTTGCTTTGCAAAAAATAAAAAACACATATTGCTTCATCTGCAGGYTGCAGCTCAACCGAGGAGTAACGACGTCTCTACTGTTATTAAAAGCTGACACGGGCATCAAAGYCCATAWACTTTATCCATCTGTGTTCGCTTCTAAAACGGTTTAACTCGTTTAGCTTCTCAATTTCTTAACTGGTTTTCTTCGGGACCTGCCCTGCTGTTAACTGGTTTTCTTCAGGA